GGTGGAAGGTCTGCAAGCCTTGGTTTCTGGTAAAGCTGACTCGGCAGAATAACTCCCAGCCTTCCCCAAACACCAAGTAGATCGAAGTTCACCTCGTGCCCCTTCAGACCCCTTGGTATCCATTCTTTATGCCCTGGCTGAGGACCAATCCAAACGGGAAGTGTCAGACCCCCACTCCGGGATTCCCCAATCTTTCCACCCCAGAGTCAGCAGCACCTCCTACTTAGACTGGGAACCCCGGGTACTTGAGAGTCGGGGTGGGTTGGACTGTTAAACCGGTAGAGGGAGCAGAGGAGCCCATGTTCCTCATCCCCTGTGGAGGAAGAGGGATGACATCTGGGGTGACAGGACAGGGCGTGGGGGAACTTAGAAGGGCATTGCGGGATTCCCTCTCCTAGTAAGTGTACTTCCGACGGAGGACCTGCAGGATCGCGCCCCACAAAGGTAGAGCTCATCTTCCTCACCCAGTTACCTGCTTCTCCAAAGCAGTCGTCCTCTTCGACGCTGGTCTCCACTGGCCCGGGCAGGTCCCCGTTGGGGCCGGACATGCTGAGGTCTGCGGCTGTGATTGATTATAGAGCCGCGGAAAGCCCAGACAATCGGTAGAACCTTGCGGGCTACAAATGGAACGTGACGCAAACCCTGGGCCCCGCCCCCTCTGGGAAGGGGCGGGGCCTGCCTACGGGCTGTCCGTCGGGAAGCCTTAGAAACCCGAGGACCCGTCACCCTAGGAGGGGAATTGGGCTTCAGGGCTTTTTGACCGAGTGATGAAGGCAGAGACTCTCGGGCATGCACCCCAGACGGCTACCGGCCTGGCGAGCCCTGGTTAGTGCTCCAGGAGGGCTTCATCCAAACTGATTGGGTTCCTAAAGGCCCCAGCCCGGCGTAGGAATAAAGTTTTCGTTTCTGGTCGCAGAAAGGAAGAAACTGAGCGGCGGGCGGGCGAATCAGGGGAATCAGGTGCTCTCGCCCTACCTGGAGCTAGGTGGTGTGTGGACTTTTTCCTGCTTCTGTGCAGGAAAGGAGGCACTCCCAGTCCTTAAAGGGCAAAGTCATTTTAAGGCCGTGTTTGGCATCTTTGGGAACCTCCACCGACTTAGCTGAAAATGAAGTCCCACTCTGCTTCCTTCCCAGGTAGTCAGAGGCTTGTTACCTCGGAAACCTAAACCTTTCTCACTCATTTCAGCTAGCTTTATAGTCTAGTGCCACTTTCTCCAGGTCTCGGCAGGCTTAGCTTCAGCCTGGGTGGCCCCTTACTCCAGCTCTGCAGGGCTGGCATCAGCCTGGGTGGGCCCCTACTCCAGCTCTGCAGGGCTGGCATCAGCCTGGGTGGGCCCCTACTTCAGCTCTGCAGGGTTGGCATCAGCCTGGGTGGCCCCCTACTCCAGCTCTGCAGGGCTGGCATCAGCCTGGGTGGCCCCTTACTCCAGCTATCACCACGGCTGGCATTCACGAAGTGATGCTCTTTCTTAAACAGATTTGGTGGTAAATGGAGTTGGAGGTGGGAGACTTAATTGCTGTCCCGAGCCCCAGCACACGTGCATTCACTCACTACCAGTGTGATAAGCTAGGGATTTCCCCCATCTGAGCCCGTTTTCTTTTCCCCTGCCTCTCTCACAAGGATGTTTTAAGGATCTAATGAAACAATTGGAAGTCACTTTGTAAACTGTGAGTGTCTGTGCTGGTGAAAAAAACACTCAGGATATTCGAAAGTCAGGACTTATTTTGGACGGCATAGCCCAGTCCTGCTGTAACTGTGGGCTGGGAGATGGGTGATGTTGGATTCTGATATAGGCATACATGGACATCCTTCCTGCCTTTTGGTGATTCCCCCAGAGACCTTCTGTAGACCAGAACTTTCTCTCCCCCAAAAGTTCTGCCATTTTGACCCTTATCCTTCCCCGATCAAAAATCAATAAAAGAGATAATGGAGAGCACCTGGACCTGGAATCAGGAGGACCTGAGTTCAAATTCGGCCTCAGACAGGTACCAGCTATATGACCCTGAGCAAGTCACTTAACTCAGCCTCCCTCCCAAAAAAAAAGGCAGGGGGGAGGGGGGGAGGAGGAAGAGATGATGGAAACTGGGAACATGTTCAATATTTGCCAAACTACGAATTTGGAAACCAGCATTGTGGCTTCTGAGGGCTTCCTATTACTTCTCTTCAACCTCTCTCCATAGCACAGAGTTCAAAGAGAGTTTCTGGGGAGAGGAATGACCTGAAGTCAGCTATTTGTCCACAGAAGCTGTATTCCTGCCGAAAGGGATTGGGGAACCAAGAGTGAGTTACCATCATGATATGAGTTTCTGTCTCACCTGGGCAACAGCATAGTATGAGCTGTTGTGGGGGAGGGGGGAGGGGGGAGGGAGACAGGCTGGGAAACTGAGAGAGAGGATTAGATACTCTGGGGAAATAAATGACAGGGCTGAAAATGGGACTGGGAGATCTTGCATTGGGATACACACTCTATCCTCACCCCAGTTGTAGAATGTAGACTCCCTCAAGATTTAAATCAGGTTCTGCTTTGTGCAGAAGGCCTATCCTAATCCCCCACTTGCTACTGTCCCCCTTCCAGCATATTTATTATGTATAGAGTTGCATTTATACTTATTTGTGTACCCAGGAGAATGTAAGCTTCTTGAGGGCAGGAAATCTTTTTGTTTTTTGTATCTCTACTGGCAAACAGTAAGTGCTTAATATATGTTTGGGAATAAATGAGTGAGTGAACAAATGAATGAATGTTCTAACTAGCATGACACTTTGTTGTTGTTTTTGTTAAGTCGTTTCAGTTATGTCTGACCCTTCGTGACCCCATTTGGTGTTTCATTGGCAAAGATACTGGAGTGGTTTGCCATTTCCTCCTCCAACTCATTTTATAGGTAAGGAAACTGAGGCAAACAGGGTGAAGTGACTTGCCCAGGGTCACACAGTAAGTGTCTGAAGCCATATTTGAACTCAGGGAGAGGAGTCTTCCTGACTCCAGGTCTGGCACTCTATCCATTGCACCACCTAGCTGCCCCAGTGTGACATTTATTTGGCCTTTTCTCCCCAGGTCCTTGAGATTATCTTGAAGGACAAACTCTACTTCGTAAACCTTCCTGTTGACTCTGTGACCTTATAAGCCTCAAACCCATTTTGCACCACTATATTAATCATCCCTTCTCCCCTCACCCCTCTGCCAATAAATCTTAGAAGATGGAAATCTGTCATTAGTCAGAGCTCAGATTCTCCCCTTTCTGAAGTGTCCCCCAGAAGCTGGTTCAATGGGCTGGGGCCCAGGACTCAGAGGAATTAGATTCAACACTGCCCTCCAGCTGTTGTTGGAGCCTGACTGTAACCAGCATCAGTTTCCCTAGGATCAACATTGCAGTGTCAAAGGAAGTCTGGTGAGACAACATGTACCAATTTTGTTGGAAGCACCAGGTGGTAATAACACTGTCATGTAGCTATATGAGTTTCCCATTTATGATTCATAATTTCATAGATTTAGAACTAGAAGGTATGTTAGAGATTGTCTGGTCCAATCCACATTTTACAGGTGAGGAAACAGACTTAAAGAGGTTACAAGACACAAGTTAGGGGGTGGGAAAACTCTCTGTATCCATATTCAGTTTTAGACAGGTGCCTCAGGGTTAAGGCCTGGGCCCCTGAAAGTGAGATCCTTCCTGTGTGACACAGAAGGTCAATAGATCAGAGGCAATGGGAATAGCTTTCTTATCTATAATCCTCACTCTGTTAAGCAGCTAGGTGGCATTACAGGGGATAGAGTGTTGGGCCTGGAGTCAGGAAGACCTGAGTTCAAATTTGACCTCAGACTTACCAGCTGTGTGACCCTGGGCAAGTCACTTCACCCTGTTTACTTCAGTTCCTCATCTGTAAAATGAGCTGGAGGAAATGGCAAACCACTCCAGTATTTTTGCCAAGAAAATCCCAAATGGGGTCACTGAGAGTCAGACACCATTTAACAACAGTAAGGTGGCACAACAGATAGAGTGCATTGAACTTGCAGTCAGGAAGACCCAAGTTCAAATCTAGCCTCAGATACTGGCTGTATGACCCTGGGCAAGTCACTTACCTTTGTCTGCCTTAGTTTTCCCATGTGTAAAATGCATCCACCTCCCAGGATTGCTGTGAAGATAAAGTAAGATGGTATTTGTAAAGTGCTTTAAGTACTAGCTATTATTATTATCTGGGTGACAAGCAGAAAGAAGTCAGATCTCCCTCCACCCCAACTTCAACTGCATTTTGGATCTTGAAGCTGATTTCAGAGAGGTTAAGAGATTTGCTTAATGTCTCACAAACAAGACTAAAATCTGAACTTAAACTCAGGTCCTCCAACTCCAAACCCGGTGCTCTCTTCCAGAATGAACCACGGACAAGTTCAATCATGTAGCCAATATGATTTGGACACGTGTTTTGTGCTGGGGACAGCCAGTAATGATTTGGATGTCATCTTAACCCAAGACAGAGAAATTCTGGATGACCTCTGGCAGTGACCCTTAAACCAAACGTTTCTGCGATGGTTAAGTACTTGCTACATTCAACAGTGAGTGCCCTGGTCTCCAAGTCAAGAAAGTCCTGGGTTCTAGTTCTACTAGAGTGACCTGGGACCAATCACTGAACGAGTCTCTGGGCTTGCTTCCTCGTCTGCTTAAAGGGGAGTGGGGGTGGCCTAGACGACCCCCAGGTCAGGCCCCATGTCTACGCCCGCAATTCTAAGGGTGGTAGATCTCCGAGCTAGGAGGGGCTCGGCGATCCCAGGATCCTCCGCTCATTTTCCACAAAGGGATGGTGCTCAGCAGCCGCTCGGACGGCGGCAGGATCGGGTTTTTAACCAAATCCCACCCCGGGAAGCTCAGCCTCTACCGGCCCTGCGGGCCCCTCCTCCTTCCGGGGCGTTTTCATCTCAGTGTCAGAGGCCGAATCCCTAGACTACAGAATATGCCGCTTTAAGGTCAAAGCGTCCTTTGGTTCTCGGGCCCGCCCGCCTAGAGTTTGCAGCCCATGCGCAGTCAAGATGGCTGTGGCTGTGGCTGCTGTCCGGGCGGGTTGGCGTTATGCGAGGCCGGTGGGCTGGAAGTTGGGCTGCTGCCCGGGCCAGAGCCGGGCCGGGCTCTCCGGAGCGGCGGGGCGGTGGCCCGGGGCGGCGCCCACAGTGGCCCCGAGGTTGCTGGGGGTGGCGGCGCTGGCCCTCGGGGGCGCCTTGGGCATCGGCCACACGGTGCGGGGCCGTCTGAAGACCCAGGAGCAGCTGGCCAAGCAGGCAGCCCCCGAGGTGAGAGAGCGAGCCGGGGGGAGGGGGAGGCGGGGCCCCCCAGGTGAGAGAGCGAGCGGGGGGGGGGGGGGGGACAGGGGGGGGGGCCCCCCCCAGGTGAGCGAGCCGGCAGCGGATGGGGCACCCTATTCTAGGCTGAAAGCCCTGAGCACCTCGCCTCGGGGTCAGAGCTGACCGCTAGCATCTTTCCATCTTCCACCTGCCCCCTTGGAAGCACCGTAGGGTGTAGGCGGGACGCTCTCCTAGGGTAAAGCCCCAGCCGTGCCCCTAGGTTCGCTCTGTGTTTTGCAGAGGCACCAGCTCTGGGGTCGGGACACCTGAGTCCTGTCACCACCTCGATGTGTGAGTGACCTTGGGTGAGTCACATCCACTCTCTTGACGAAGGTTTCCAATCGGTAAAACTAGGAGGTTGGACTTGATGATCTCCAGTTCTTTCAGGTCTTAAGATGCCTAGAGATGGAGGGGACCCCCAGAACCTCCTCAGGGAAGATCCAGCCTGAACGATGATCTCAGCCAAAAACCTATTATTTCCTTCCCCTTCCTTCCTTTGGTTGCTGGGGATAGAGTGAGGTGTAGGGATGATGGGATTTTCCCAGCACCCAGGGCTGGAGCATGTGAATAAGGAGGAGGAAGAAGGGGTGTCTGTCAACTACTGTTAAAAAAAAAAACCTCACATGAAGCTCTTTTAGATAAAATCTAAAGAATTCTCATCCTGTTTCTTCTACTGTGGACCAGGCATTGGAGGGGGGAGGGGGGCCCCAGAATTTGGTTGTTTAGCAAAAACTCCCCATCCTTAGTCACTTTCCTACCCTCCCTCTGACCTCACTTTGGCTGCTGCTTCAACCATTCTAACAGTTAAGGTGTTGAGGGAAATCAGAACTTATAATTTAGAGCTGGGAAGGCCCTTAGAAACCATCTAATTTTAGAGAGGAAACTATACCCCAAAAGGTCAGGTAACTTATCCAGGGTAACACAGCTTGTAAGTAATAGCTGTCATTTGAGCACATCAAGAATTCTGTGAATTTGTTTTTTGATTTTTAAAAATATTTTGATGACTGTATTTCAATATGATTATTTTCCTTTGTAATTCTATATATTTTATTTTATACCTTTAAACATTCAATGTAATTGCTTTCCCTTGTGATTTTATTCATTTTAAAATGTTTTGAGGAGAGGTCAACAGGTTTCACCAGACTGACAAAGGAGTCCATGATACAAACAAGGTTAAGAAGCTTTGGTCTAATTTTTTATAATTGTGTACAGCTTTTAAGGGGGTGGGAGGTAGGGAAATAACATCTGAAAATAGACTGTAGATTTTTACCATTGTGTTTGTGATAGAATATCCACAGGTCAGTGCTGTAATTAAAACTAAAAATGCTTAAAAAAAAAAAAGCCTTGGTCTCCAGTACACCATGATGTTTCCTTTGCTGCATATATCTGTTATCATGATTGAAGCCGCCTTAGATGTGCTTTTTAACCCAATTTCTCCTGTAAATAAATGCTGTTGGGAAAGCATGCCCTGCCAGCACTGAACTGGGAGTGAATTCCTGTCTCCTTTTTACAGCTTGCTGAGGGCCGTCTGCAACTGACCCTGTACCAGTACAAGACTTGCCCCTTCTGCAGCAAGGTCCGAGCCTTCTTGGACTTCCATGCTTTGCCGTATGAGGTGGTGGAGGTAAACCCTGTCCGAAGGCAGGAGATCAAATTCTCCTCCTACAGAAAGGTGCCTATCCTGCTTGCCCAGGAAGGAGAATTACTAGTAAGTGATCCCATCCATTCCATCCCCATTTCCTTGGGCCAAAATTGGGCTCTTGGCTCCAGATCCCTATGGAACATAGAATTGGTATGGGACTGATAGCTCAGGGCTGAAGGTTTTAGGGCCTCCACCCACCCCCTCCCAGGATTCTGACCCTTATTCTGACCCCTGGTGCTCTTCCTATTCTCCCTTCCTTTCCCACTTGATCCATGCTTCTCTGGTCAAGACTATTTGACTATAAAATGTTTTGAGATCTTGTAGAGCCTGACTCTACCCTGAACTAGATGGTAATTCTCTTTTTAGCAGCAACTTAACGACTCGTCCGTGATCATTAGCGCACTCAAGACGTACCTGATGTCTGGGTAAGGGGCCTTTGGAGAACCACAGAGTCTGCAGGCTAGAAGGGGCCTCTGGAGGTCATCTCATCCCTCTCGGACCTGAGTTGTGGGATCGGGGTGAAGATAGGCATGAGAGTTTGTCCAGGGAAACTGGGTGGGACAACTTTCTTCACTCACCTATTCCAGTGTTCCATGGCTCTTGATTTAGGAGGTCCTTCTGGGTGTCTACATTGGGTCCCTCCTGTTGTCTGTATTTCATCTCATTTTACCTGCAGAAATGGGGAACAGGCCCACTGGAAAGTCTTTCATGGGTTTAAAGTTGAGCCAATTGCTATAAATCCTGACCGCCTGACCCCACATCTCCCCCAATGACCTTGCAGTTACTCATGAGTTTTCCAGAGACAGAGGGAACAACAGGCTTGTGGCACAGGGGAGGTACTCAGACAGCTTGGTAGAGGATGACCCTCCCAGGGGCTCATGTGGGAGGGGGCAGGTGAACTTATGACGCTGATTCTCTAGGAAGAACCTGGAGGAAATCATCTCCTATTACCCACCAATGAAGACAGTGAATGACCAGGGGAAGGAGGTGACTGAGTTTGGCAATAAATATTGGCTCATGTTGAATGAGAAGGAGAGCCGGCGTCTCTACAGCGGGAAGGAAGCTCGAACGTAAGTTATGAGGAGATGGGGGTAGTGAGAGCAAGATGGACCATCTTTTTACTTTGTGACCCCATGCACTGAGGCCTCCAAGATGAGAGGATATTTAGTGGGAGGGGCCTCCAGAGATTTCAAGGAGCCAGTGGGACGTGGTCTCTCCTTCCTTCCTCCCTCCCTCCCTCCCTCCTTCCTTCTTTCGAAGTCGGTGTTAAGTGACTTGCCCAGGGTCACACAGCTAGTAAGTGTGAAGTGTCTTGAGGCTGGATTTGAACTCAGGTCACTCTATCCACTGTGCCACCTAGGTGTCCCTGAGCCCATGTGGTATTGTAGAAAGAACAGGAGACCTGGAATCCGGACCTGGATCCACCACTAACCCATTGATCCCCTTGGGGCATGTCCCCTCTTTGGACCTCAGTTTCCTCCTCTGTAAAATGAAGTGATTGAGTTAAATGGTCCCTAATATCCCTTCTAATTCTAAGTCTAATTTTTTTCATCTAATCTAATTGCCAGTTTAGAGCAGGTCTGTTTCTAAGCCAAGCAGTTAGGTAGTTCCATAGTGCAACGAGTGCTAGGCCTGGAATCAGGAAGACTCATCTTCAAGTTCAAATTTGACCTCAGACATTTACTAGCTGTGTGACCCTGGGCAAGTCACTTAACGCAATTTGCCTCAGTTCCTCATCTGTAAAATGATCTGGAGAAGAAAGTGGCAAACCACTCCAGTATCTTTGCCAAAAGGGGGTCAGGAAGAGTCAGACACGACAGAAAACAACTGAATAACAACAAAATTTCTAAGCTATCTCACACTGGTGGGCCTCAGCTTCCTCAATTATAAAATGAGAGGGTTGGACTCGATTACCTCTGAGGAAGAGGTCTTCCATCTCTCATTCTATGGTAAGTGATATTTCTACCTAGGCCAGGTTGCTAGACCTAGATGTGTAGAATGGAAAGAATGCTGGGCCTGGGTCAAGAAGAATTAGTTTTGGAGGCAGCTAGGTGGCTCAGTGGATAGAGCTCTGGCCTTGGAGTCAGGAGGACCTGAGTTCAAATCCGACCTTACACACTTGACATTTAGTAGCTGTGTGATCTTGGGCAAGTTACTTAACCCCAATTGCCTCACCAAAAAGCAAAAAAAAAAGAAGAAAGAATTTCAAATCTAGCTTCAGATACTAACGTGTGTCCCTGAGTAAGTCACTTAACCACTGTCTGCCTCAGTTTCCTCATCTATAAAACAGCACTTAACCTCCCAGGAGGATCAAATGAGTTAATATGTATAAAACACTTTGAAAACCTTAAAGTGCTATATAAATACTAGCTATTGTTATTATCATTACTGGGAAGGCTATCCCTTATTTAAAATTAGTCCTGTCTTAATAAGAACCCTCTTGTTTATAATCCCTGCCCTGTGCCATCCCCCCCAAAAAAAAGATGGAGTGGCCAGTAACAGAACCTTGGAGGGAAAAGGGCAGCAGGGCTGAACTGGGCCCAGGGAGGGGCTGAGCCTTCATCACCATTCCCCCAGCATGCAGGGAGAGGTGAGGGAGTAAGCATTTATAGCAGGCCTTCCTTCTATCTGCCAGCACCACACTAAGCACTTGATAAATCTTATCTCATTTGATCCTCACAACAACCCTTCAAGGTTGGTGCTGCTGTTATCCTCATTTTACAGTTGAAACTGACACAAATAGAGGGTAAGTGACTTGCCCAGGGTCACACAGCCAGTTGATATCTGAAGCTGGATTTGAACTCAGGTCTTTCTGATTCTCTCCATCACTCTATTCATTATACAACCTAGCTGCCTATAGCTACACATACACACGCACACGCACGCATATTCATATGTACATATGTATATATTTCCCCATAGGGAGGAAATGAAGTGGCGACAGTGGGCGGATGACTGGCTGGTGCACCTCATCTCACCCAACGTCTACCGCACTCCGGCCGAAGCCCTGGCTTCCTTTGATTACATTGTCCACGAGGGCAAGTTTGGAGTTGTGGAAGGAGCGGTGGCCAAGTATGTGGGTGCAGCCGCCATGTTCATCATTAGCAAGAGACTGAAGAGCCGGTAAGCAGGGCACAGAGCCTGCTCAGAGGGTCAGCATCGGGCTTCCACTCATCACCAGCTTAGGTTGTGTGTGTTGCTGGGGAGGGAGGATGGAGATCTTTGGGGGTCTTCTGAGGATCAGAACGGGCATCTCCTCAGAGCCTCTCACATGGCCTTGGAAAAGAAACAAGGGAATCGTGTGGCCGTGGAACCTTCTGTAACTAGGAATGCTTGCTGGAAAAGGAGGCAGCCTGTCCCATGAAGAATCTGACCCCCGCCGTCACAGCACAGCCCAATCCCTACTTTCCCTGAAAGGAGCTAGAGGGTCACAGTGGTGGGGGAGAGTGGTCTGAGGAGAGGGGTGCCATGGGACCGTGCTGGGGAAGGCAGTACAGGGCAGGGCACGGTCACCCTCTGTTTATCCTGGACTGGAGCAGAGGACCATAGCAGGGAGAAGTGGGCCTCCCTACCCCACTCCAGGCTGGCCCTGCCCTTGTTCTGGCTTTGCTCTAATGTATGCCGTGGCAAGCTGTGGCCTGAAAGTCAGGACACCTGGGTTCTTTCCAAATTCACTGTGTGACCTGAGGCAACTCACTTCGGCTTGGACAGTTTCTTCCTTTATAAAAGATGGAGGTTGGATGCGCTAATCTCAGATCCCTTCCAGGTCCAGTGCTATCCCACGCCCTTCCTGTGATCATGTCCCCAGTGCCACTCATTCCACTCATGATCCCAGAGAGCCAGGAGGTGGCTGCATTTGTGAGAAATGCTCTTCCCCATCACACACATCCCCCGTCCCGCAGCCGTGTGTGTTATCGTGAATTGCTTAGGGCTCTTGTCCTCTCGTCTGAGAACTGGCTGGGGCTGGGGTGGTGCGGTGTGACTCAGCCTCTGAGGGGCCTCTCTGATGGGCCGCTGAAGGAGAGGGCATTCCTCCCCTACAGGCACCACCTCCAAGACGATGTCCGAGAGGACCTGTACCAGGCAGCGAACCAGTGGGTGGCAGCAGTTGGCAAAGACAGGCCCTTCATGGGGGGAAAGGAGCCCAACCTTGCTGACTTGGTGAGAAGTTTGGGGTGTCCCAGGGAGGGGTAGGAGGATTTTCTGGGCTGGGATTCCCTCACCCAATCTTTTGCAGTGCTGGATTTGGAGTCTGAGGACCTGGGTTCAAATCTTGGCTTGGCCACTTCTGTCCAAGGTCACTTAGGTAACCTTGGACAAGTCATGTAATATCTCAGAGCCTCGGTTTTCTCCTCTGTAAAATGAGGGTGTTGACCTGTTAGGTCTCTTCTACCTCTAAGCCTGTGATCTTTTGATTAAATAGTAGGATGACCTGGAGCAGATCATTCAATTTTCTGGAGCCTCAGTTTCCTCGTGTATAAAATGGAGATAATTGTTCATGGGATCGTTGTGGAAAGTGATGGTACTAGGAGGCAGCTAGGTGGTATAGTGGATAGAGCATCAGCCCTGGATTCAGGAGGACCTGAGTTCAAATCCGGCCTCAGACCCATACCACTTACTAGCTGTGTGACCCTGGGCAAGTCACTTAACCCCATTGCCCAGCCGAAAAAAAAAAGAAAGAAAGAAAGAAAGTGATAACAACTTGAAAAATCTGCGTTGTTATTTCCTAACCCCTGGAAGGGGGTAGAAAAAGTCCCAGCTACCATGCCATGCTCATCAGACCCTCCAGGGCTATGTCCCAGTGCCTTCTAGAGGACCCCTACCTAGACATCCCGAGTTGTGACCCTGGTTTTCCTGAGGCCCTGTCTCACTGCCAGCTTCCCTTTCCTTCCAGGCCTAGCAGCAGGGCCGAGAGATGAGACCCCCTCCCCCAACCAAGGTTGGGATCTTTAAAAACTCTGGGCCCCTCTGGGCTGTTTGTGGGACCCAGAGTCTCTGTAACAGCTGCTCCTCTCCCGTTGCCAGGCGGTGTACGGTGTGCTGCGTGTGATGGAGGGCCTGGAGGCCTTTGAGGACATGATGTGCCACACCCGAATTGGGCCCTGGTACCTTCGGGTGGAGAAAGCCATTGCTGAAGCCCAGGGAAACTACTGACTCTCCCTGATGCTTCCCTCCCATTGGGGCAGAGTATAAGTGGATTCTGGAGCCATGGGAGTGCCAGCAAGCAGGGAGGTGTGTGAAGGCCTCTCTCCCTCATCCAGCTCCCTGGAATCAAACCCTGAGCCGGGGCAGGCTAGTGGAGCCCTGGTCTGGGAGCTGGGGAAGGAGCAGAGGATGTTTTTTAGGGCTGCCACTGATCTCAGGGAGGTTGAGATCCCTACTCAGAGCTTCTGGACTTTCACTATTTATTTCTAGTCTTCCTTGAGCGTTTCAGGGACCTCTCTCCTAGCCTGCCCTGGTGGCTCTCTCTGGACTCTTGAGTGTCTGGGAGGGAAAGAACAGGCAAGGGCCCTGGAACCCTGAGGGAGGAGCTATAGAATTCTGAGGACATTTTCTGGGAAGTTCCAAGGTCCCTGGATGGGGGGCCCAGGGGTTCCTTATGGTCCAGGTCTCCTTGCCCTCAGTCAGAGGGTCCTGGAGGAAGGCCTCCTCAGCTGTGAGTCATGTCTGCAATAAAGAAATGGTTTGCTGTTCCGAGGCTGTGACCCAAATTTGTGATGGAATTATGAAATATAACGTGCAAATGAGTCCCTTACATGTGAAAATCCTAAACTGAGCCTAGAGCAGGAGTTCTTGACTCTGTGTGTCATGGACCCCTTTGGCAGGCTGGGGAAGCCTGTGAACCTGTTCTCAAAGTGATGTTTTTAAATTCATAAATAAATGCATAGTATTGCAGAGGAAACCATTTAAATGGAAATACAATTATAAAAAAAAAAGTTTTAAGAGCCTCTGGCTTAGAGGAACATAGGCTAAGTTAAGGGGAGCAGGTGTTTGCTACCGTTGGGTCACTTTCTGACTCTCTTACCAGGGGAGGCAAACACTGTTTCCTCTCCCTGCCGGCCTTTGGCCATGGGATTACATTCTTCCTCTCCTGAGGGTCCATCCTTGTCACTATGTGTAGGGTGGGACCTTCAGCCATCATCACCATGCCCATACCCTCTACACAAGTAACTTGAAATGGCATTTAAAATGTTGAAGTTGTGACAAGGCCATTTGTTCTGAAGGTGATACAATCTTGAAAACCTCAGTGATCTCGAGCAAAATTAGGAGAACTACCCATATTCCTGCTTTCTCAACTTTATAAAATCATGGGGATGAGCTCCCCATCCACCGAGGGTGTCCTTAATGAAGCCATGAAAAAGGCAAGGGAAGGCCTTTGCAAACAATTGGCCTTAGGACCCCTTTATAGTCTTAAAAATTACTGAGGACCTCTCCTTCCAAAGAGCTTTTTGTTTATGTGGATTATACCTATCAATATTTACCCTGTTGGGAATTAAAGCATCTTAATATTATGAAAATAGTTTTAATCTCAGAGATCCCCTGAAAGGGTCTTGGGGACCCCTAGGGTTCCCCAGATTATACTTTGAGAACCACTGGTACAGAGGATACAAGATGGTTTGTTTATTGATTCCAAACCTGTTGACTGTAGAGGAAAACGTAGCCTTAAAAGTCCTCTTCTCACAAGGAGCCTCTCCTGGGTATGTTAAGCTCACTTGAGTTTCCTTCACAGATATAGTCACAAATGACTCTGTTCAAGTGAGGCATGAAATAGGGAGATAGATGTGTGCTTACCAAAGGTGCTCACTACCGTCATGCAGGGTGCAGAGGGAAGAGAGTCCCTCTCGAGGGTGAGTGTCTCCAGACACTGCAGCTTGTACGTGCAGCAAGCTCGGGACATCACAGGGCTCCTCAAAAGAGATAGGCTTCACAACTCACACAGAAATGTATTTGATGAATGAAAAATGCCTATTGTCCGATGTATGCCATGCCACTCTATCCCTAAGTACTGGAGAGACAAAGAAAGGTAAGGAGGCTCCCTGCCCTCAAGGAGCTCCCATTCTAATGGGGAGACAACATGTAAATAACTATATAAGAAGTATACAGAGTATATGAATGAAATCTCAGAAGGGAAGGCGCTTGCAGTATGGGGGTGAGAGATGGCATAGGGTTACCGAGAGGCCTTTTGCAGAAGATAGGATTTAAGGTGCGACTTGAAGGAAGCCTGGGAAACTAAAGCAGCAGTAAGGAAGTCCGTCATTTTGTGCGTGCAAGACAATCAGTGTTGCAAGGCCATGGGGACAGGGGATGGAATGTTGTGTTGGAGGATGTTTGCAGAGGAAAGGAAGAAAGTGTAAGAAGACTGGAAAGGTAGGAAGGTGCCAGGCTGTGAAGAACTTTAAATGCCAGATGACTTTATGTCTGGTCTTGGAGTTCATAGTAATGACATGAGTAAACCTACCCTCAAGGAAAATTAGTTTGGCAGCTGAATGGAAGATGGAGTGGAGTCGGGAGAGACTTGAGGCAGTCTGGTACAAACCCTGGAGAAGAGCAATGAGCTGGGCCCAGAATTGAACTGGAGGAACAGAATGGCTAGAATGAATGTGGAAAATTGCAAAGTACTTTTAAAGATCAGGCCACTTGCCAGAACAAAACTCCTTCTCTTAAAACAAATCTTTTCCCAGTGATGCTATGTGGTTGCAAATCCAGGACTCTCCAAAGAATTCAAGGTATCCATAATCCAGAGATCAAGGAAGGTCCAATTAATGGGTACAAATAGTCTTTGGCTTATGTCCAGTAATATCCCGCCAATGTATTATTGGTCCCTTAGCAAGAGCAAGGGATAGCAAGACAGATATGTGCTCAAGGGTGTTATGAGGCTCAGATTAGATAATGGATGTAGAACACTTTGCAACCTTAAAACCCTCTGTAAATGACACTTGTCATTCTGGTAACGACTTCATTCCTTGAGGCTCTTACTCAATTGCTGTTTAACCATCAGCCTCTCAGACAGAAACATGTATGCCCACCTGCACCATTAACGTTTTCTGAAGTCTAGATGCTCAACAAAACAATAAATGAAGCCCTGATTCGGACTGCCCATTTCTGAAGTCTAAATGCTTGTGCTAAAAATTTCACAATTGACTCTCCTAGTGCAGTTGGAGCAGGCTCCACAGATCCCCCTGTTCTGTGCCCTGAGCTGGACAGAGCAAGGCCACACATGCCAACACAGAACTGCTCCCGCTAGGTGGCCATGCCAGGTATTGCAGCTGCAGGGAAGAAGAGTTGTTCTGGAGATGATCCTTCCCCCTAATTTAAAATTTAAAAAAAACTAAATTAAAATTATTCATTATTATTATTTTTTACACCACAGTCTTTCCCCAGTAACTCCCTTGAAACTCTCTCTTAGGGAGAAGCTCAGGAAGACTTGTATGAACGGATACAAAGTGAAGCGAGCAGAACCAGGAGAACAATTTATGTAATAATAGCAATATGGTCACAGCAATATAACAGCACGATAGTCTCCTTTGAAAGGCAGAATAACTCTGATCAATACAATGCCTAACTGTTCCAAAGGACTCATGCATGATTAAGCACATTATCCTCTTATGGATAGAGAGCTGATGGACTCAGTGCAGACAGAAGCATATTTTGTTCTGTTTCTTTCTTCCTTGTTGACTTGCCTGACAATTTATCTATAGAGAAGAGGAAAGTGGGTCACACTGTCTGGTCTTTCAGAATGAAGATTTTACTTCGTCTTCAACTGTAACCATTTTGAGAGTAAGGACTATTTTGTTTTATTTTGTGGTGAGAAATAGATGACCGGGAGAGCCGTGGAGACCAAAATAACAAGATTTGGTAACTAATAGGGCATGGGGGGAAAAATTGAAGGAGAAGACACAAAGGTGACTCCAAGATTGCAAACCTGGGTAACTGGAAGGATGGTGGTGTGTCTTAAGACAGAAACAGGGAATTTTGGGTGATGTGACATGTAAAATATGAAATGACTGAGGAAACAAAGGTTCAATCTGAATATATTGATTTTTTTTTCTTTTGGTGGAAGCAATTGGGGTTAAGTGACTTGCCGAGGGTCACACAGCTAGTGAGTGTCTGAGACCGGATTTGAACTCAGATTCTGCTGACTTCAGAGTCAGTGCTCTATGCACCGTACCGCCTAGCTGCCCCTGCATATTGATTTATTAAGCAATGCCTCGCAATTACCCAACAAACCAAGACCAGAACCCTCAGCTTAGGCCTGTACCCCAAATACAAGGAGAGACAGACTTTTATACATTAAAAACAATGAATCAAATAAGGTCAATTAATTAAAAGGCCAAGTTGAGAGGGGAGAAACAAACAGGTGCAATTCCCTGAAATCAGATAAGGAGGTGTCCTACTCCCCAAAGTGTCTGTGTAAACAAAGGAACACGGAAACAATCACTGATCTATCATATGGGGCCAGTTTTCAGATAAGACATATGGATTGCTTGAGATGCTGTAATTGTGAGAAAACTCTTCGCATCAGTCTTTGGATCTGATTGGGTTTCTGGTCAGCATAACTTAGGTCCTTAGTTAAAGGTCTAAACAGCAGGTAGAGGGGGTCCAGCATTCCAGCCATGCAGGGCTAGCTTCAAACGATGCAATAAGGTTTTCTCCCAATTCCCATAACTGAATAAAGTTTTCTCACAAGAAATAATTTGTACTAGACCCATAATAGAATAGAAGGGAACTGAGCTAGCTCCATAATTGAACCGTAAGATGAAGTCAGTGTCGTTCACTCAATTCCCAAAATTAACCACTTGTTGTCCTAATCCCCTCATTTCCCTCAATGAAGGATGGATTTGGGCTGGATGGGGAGAGGGAGGAGAAACATGAGCTCTATTTTGGACTCTAGCTGAGTTTGAGATGCCAATGGTACCTCCAATAGGAAGTTGGTGATGTACGACTGGAGCTCAAGGGGCTGGATGTATATAAACCTGGGCATCACCCAAGTAGAGATGACAATTGAGCCTATGGGAGCTGATGAGCTCTCTAGGGAAGAGACTATAGAAACAAAGGACAACAGTGCCTAGGACAAAGCCTTGGAGGACATTCAGTTGGTGGGAAAGAGGATGATTACCCTGGAAAGGAACCTAATTAGGATCTTCCAGATAGGCTGAAGGAGAACAGTAGTAATGGAAGCCAAGGGGGGGGAAAGAATGTCTAGGAGAGATAGGTGATCTAAGATAAAAAAAACCACCAAAAGGTAAGGAAGGATGAGCACCTAGCAGTGAAGAAGTCATTGGTAACCTCTGAGAGCCCAGTTTCAGTAAAGTACTAGGTTTAGGATCCAAATAACAAATGACTGGAGAGGGAGTGCATGACAAGAAATGGGAACAATAGTTGTTGACCTTTTCTAGGAGAAGGAAGAAGAAATGGAGGATGACAGCTTGAGGGGGTAGCAGGGTCTGGTGAAACTTTTTTAAGGATGGGGAGACTTGGGCATGTTTGCAGGTAATCATTGATGACCAGAGAAAGGGAAGGAATGATGGAAAAAGTTCATGGAGGAGAAAGCAGGAAATGGGATTAAAAGTGTGGCTTTGAAGGGGAGAAGGACCAAGCCTTCAACACATACTGAAGCTACAGTTTTCTCATTAAAGTAGGTCATCTACTAAAAGGTAGGGTCTACCCAGATTTCAATTTCCTCATTTTTTGTAGTGA